TCACGTGACCATTCCGTCGAAGTGCCTCTGGACTTCAGTACAACAATGAACAGAACACAAGTCAAAGGCGAATCCATTCTGACGGATCAATCACCCATTCTGTTCAAAAAGGATCGTAGACGATATCCGTCATCAGGTTCCACGGCTGTTCGTCCACTTCCCAACTCTGAGGGATATGAAAACCACTTGGGATTGAATGACATCATCTATCATGTGATGGTTCGTGGTGAATCCCTTGTCTGTCTGGAGATCGGAGGAATCCAACGTCTTTGTTTGGCTCAGATTTCATCCACACTGTTGAAAAATTTCTCATACAATGAAATTCATAATCGGCGTGTTGCTTTGGGTATCACATGCGTTCAGTGCTCTCCGGCTCAGTTGGAATTGTTGCGTGAGGCGGGCGCAATGCCCACGTCGTCGAGACGATGTGGAACAATTACACGTCGAGAAGCCGAGCGACTGGTCAAATCGTTCTTGGATGAACCGGAACATCCGAAATTACCGGACGGATTCGCATTCGATGTGATGCATCATTGTGGTTGGGGTTGTCAGGGCCAGTTCGTGCCATCTCGATATAACAGTTCTCGGGCGAAATGTGTGCGATGTAACTTCTGTCAAGTGAGTTGAATGCACGTACTATCTACCGTAATATCTATCTATCTATCTATCTATCTATCTATCTATCTATCTATCTATCTATCTATCTATCTACCTATCTATCTAATCTATCTATCTATCTATCTATCTATCTATCTATCTATCTATCTACCTATCTATCTAATCTATCTAGGCAGTCAGTATTGCGAAGTGTCAGACCTCAGTTGGAACTATTCGTGTATAGGTGATGGAGGCTTCCCCCAAATAACTTAATTACTTGAAATGTTTTTTTCATGAAAGAGTAAACACTCTGAAGCAAATCGGAAGAATGAAATTTATCGCAAATAGTCCATCTATTCACACCCGAATATATATGGTACATGGTACATATGGTGCACGGATAGGCCTGTTTCATTGCAAATCGCGATCAGTGTTTACTCGGAAGAATACACATGTGGTGTCCTTAACACGGCCACTTTCATCCGACAATCTACCATAGAAAAACAAGCATTCTCTCGCACATGTTCTTTCCTTACTCTCAATATTCGAAAAATACAAGCAGGATGATATCAGATGTGCAAAATTCCGGCTTGCAAGTTAGCAATTAAACTTATTGATTTTCACATACAGAGAGAGAGCTAAATAATCGAACGAATGAACATACTTAAGTTATTCAGTGACTAAGTAATACAAATACATCCAAATGTTTGAATGCACAATAAGCGTATAAGTGCGTTTCAAAACGGGCAACTGAGAAAGCGAGTGATAAGCACAGAACCCAACCACGATCAAATTGGTCCCATCCGACTCTGTATACACATGTGCTGAGTTCGGTCCTCTGCTAGTCTGATAGCTTCAGAAGAGCGAAAACGCTTGTCTGCTTCCGCACGAAAAATGATGGTGTCAAATCGTCGGGTTCGAATGAATGTCTGGTGCCTTGAGATATATGTGGCACTGGCGTATCGAGCACACTCAGATTGCGGCGTGTTGGCGCAATCCTACTAACGGAACACCTATATGCCATACCGAGTTCTGTACTGGAATCTCAGAACACATCGCAAAAGATCACAGTGTTCTTTGTTCAGACCGCCATAACCAAATGTGTGGAACAAGTCAGTGACATTGCACGTATTAGGGACAGTCAGAGATCATAACAATGTTCAGCCGATGTAGACACGTGAAAGGTAACATGGTAAAGGAGGTGAGTGAACAGACTGTAGTGAGTGAGAAACAATTTGTGACACGAAGTTGCTTAACAAGACAGCCCCATCTGAGCGGTGCGCGAACATAGTTGCACTCGACCATGGGGAGCAACACCTTTGCTACAAACACATGTTTTCCAACGAGGATGGCAGACCCTTAAATTGCTTGGTATTTGAGTGACGAAAGAATTTTCCAGGAGCACACGACTGGTTGCGTCATTGTTTCCGCTTATCAGGTGCGAATGTCTGATTTTTTTTTGTTTAAATTGCTTTCATGTACAAACCAAAAGCTGGCCGAAAAGCAGTGCAGACATAGAAGCCTATTTATACGTCCTAGCTCGTTTACAGAGAAGAACAGTGGGGTACTAAAAGGCAGCAGATAGATACATTATAATACAATCGGATCAGTTTGAATTTTCTGATATTCAGTTCAATGTGCCAAAATGCAAGGCTCTATCTCTATGACACAAGAGGCAATTCTCCTAGTTCCTCGGAAATGAACAACAGCCACACACCGCAAGTGAGAAGCACCCAGGCATCATCATTAAAGAAAACTTGAGCTGCTCACTCAACTGCGCCAAGGTGTTGAACGCAGCTGTAAAGAATATTGGTTTGCTTAAGCGGGTCTTTGGCTGGTTTGAGTCAACGCTTCCCCCCCGCCCCGCCCCGCCGTATACTATCAACATACATTCGCCCACTCACAGGGTGCACCATCTAGGTATGGAATCCATGGCTACAACGTGATTGCAAAATGCTGGAGCATCCACAAAGGATGGCCACCAAAATGGCCAAGGGTTGAATCGTTATTCATGCGTCGAGAGATTAAAGTCGTTGGGGTTATATTCTAGTCACTACCGGCGCATCAGAGGAGAAATGATTACGGTATACAAAATAATGCGAAACCCAAGCCATCCGTGTCACCCACTTTTGAAATTATCACTCAACGTTCATCTTAGATGACACCCGTTCAAACTAGTGGTCTCAAAATGCTGACTGGAATGCTGGTGTTAGTCGTTCTCAGTCAGAATGTGTTCGATTTGGAACTCTTTTCCACCCTAAATTGTCTGTGCACCAAGCAGTGAATCTTTCAAACTGAGACTCGATAAAACATTAGCACAGCTTACGTTCCAACATAAGTGAGGCTGCGTGCAGCAGTGGAAGAATCCTGTATCATGTGACATTTTACACAAGGAATTGCATGTGTCCCTATCTTTTAATCACATCAAGAACCTATGGGACGAGAAAAGTGTGAGCTTGTAAGTTATTCACATAATAATTCTTTGATCTTTGGTCAATAACTGAAGTGAGCAGAAAAATACTTCCGGTCGAAATACATGTATGATCCCAACCAGATAGATGATTTTGGCTTTGGAAGTCCAGATTTGAACTGGTAAGAACTTTGGTAGCACGCGCAATTTTCACCGAGTATGTTCAGAGTTCTAATTCCGATGATTTGCACTAATGCGAGCAAAACTCGAGCCGTGTATTGATCATCTTGACCAAATGGACTGCAGGTTGCACATCAGACCGAAATCTGAAGTTCAAACCAAAGAGAATTAGGCTCGTTGCAAAACGATCGATAACCGAAGGTTTAAACTGAATCAATTTTCAATCATCTCTGTTGTTCTCAATTCGGATTAATTTTCAAGCAAATTAATTATATAGTGTTTCATTAAACTGACTACACAAAGAAGGCATCATTATTAGTATGCATGTCTTTGGGGATAAAGTAGACCTCTTTCGTTCTCGTCTACACTTTTGTGATCATCTTATATTTCATTTAGTAGATTGTAGATTGTATGTGAAGCATGGGTCTCCTTTAACCAGAGTATTGAGACCGAAAGAAGAAATATGTCATGAGGTATTAACATTTCGTTTAATCTTCTCAATGGCTGACGTAAAACAAACAAGCATATTTATAGCACATTAGATTTGTAAATCCTAGTGAACGGATATGTACAATAGATAGACATGGGCTATTCGAATTAAAAACAACAGGCCAACTTCACGGCAAGTGAACTGATTGGATCAAAACTGTTGGACGCACGGAACGAGTGATTGATATTGTGATCAGAACCTTATTTGTTGCCAACGGGCACGTTTATCGTCCGTTAAGTGTCCTGTGATGGCATCTGGGCCAATTTCACGCAATCTGTACTGTAATGCTTACTCAAGAGAATTGCCGTCCTTACATGGTATCAAACTTTCTGTTGCAAAGAGTACTCTTATTCGACTTCAACATCTGTGGTACATGAACGCATTATACTGGGATTAAATACAAAAGACGGTTAACAAGTGACCACAGACAGAAGCAAGATTCATTAAGCGTAGGTGGATACGCTTTGCACTTTCAACGAAAGTTTGCAATCACTTTGAAAATTGGGAGGGTATAAGCGCGCGTTACCATCACTTTTCTCGATCAAGGCAGTATTGCGACACCGAAATTTGTGCAGGAACTACAAATGGTTATCTTAGTCCCCCATCCCCATGTCTGTATTTCTCAAAGCAACTTTTGCTAAACCGTGGTCCTCGTTCGGAAAGTTGACTGCATATTTGCATGTCCTCAATGCACAGAAAACGAAGTTATTTAATAAACATTGAGGATTTGTTTTGGTCTATTTCGTTAAACATAAATAAACATAATGTGGAGTGTGTTCAGCTATTGGGTTACGTAATTTCTCTTAGATTCTGTCGATGTAAGGGGTAGATTTTATGGAACATCCACCGGATACTGTGCTGTACCACACACTGATTCTCATCTTCGAATTGAAATACTTTAATAAAACATGTTTTCAGGTAGTTGGTTCCCATTTCGAACAACGAACGTGCCCTCGATACCGTTGAACAAGCTAAATACATTGTGAGTGATTTACTTGTTCTTGCATATAAAACCCGATAACCAAGATGAAAGTACATGTGTATTCAAAAAAAGATGAACGTAACCCGCAAGTATTTAAAACCCAGATCCAAGGGATAGCTACACTGTGCATTAAAATTTCAAATTGTTCAATCTGACCCTGAGAAACGTGCACAACTTTGGGAATGAGTGTGCTACGTCGACAAATCGAATCATGTCCGTGGAGATTTAGTAAGCTTAGTGACGAAGACGGATGATCCCAATATCCAACACGGTCAGCCGTGGCAGAGTCGGGTGATACTAATGACTATAATCATGATATAGTATGCTGCTCTTTTAGTAGACAATCACGAACAGTAGGCTACGAGACAATGAGGAAGTCACGTGGCATTGGTGGAATCGAGACAAAAGACCTACGCATAGTGATACCAACCAACTGTCACTCAGAACATATCGGCTTAACAGCTTGCTTGTTTCATCACATTTGTGGTTATGTATTACAATCAATGAGATGACTGAATGTTGGCAAAATATTGCAAATTGGTTCTCGTAGCTCAGGTGAACTGAATTCCACTTCGCCTGTTCGCCGAGCTTGGCAATTTGTTTGTAAACGTTTCATCACCAGCTGAGGTGACATCATCAGTGCTTGTGAAGTGGCCACTAAATGGTTAGTTAGCTGCTTAATTAACTCGACATAAAAACACTTTGACCACGATCTTAGGGTTCTTTTCTGTGATATACGTCACGTTCTTACCCAACCTAAACTGCGTCCTCTAGGAGAATAGTCCCGATTCATGAAGGTAATGAACGTTTCCGGGGTTAATTTGGGACAGACATACCCAATCAGACAGATTTCGAACTGCTTTGCTGAATCGTGGAGATACCTGATTAGTACTGGCCTCGTACGAACTCATTCATAGGTGTGGATGAGATTCCACATTCCTGTTGGGCAGATTTGTATTTCAGCTGTTGCACCAGGCAGTTCATCTTGTCTACATCATAAGCAGCTGTTGTACTCGCATACCGAACGTCGTCTCGTGGATGGTTTTAAGCACTGGTCAGGCGAGACGTAGCTTATCTCTTGCCTGTTGAAAGGTTTGCCCGAGTATGACCGTTTCTTGGATTTCATGGTACGAGGTTGATAACGCATGAGGGCCGAGGAGGGGGAGTTTTTGGTTGTTGACCTAAAGGCACAAGTGTTCGGGGTCTAAATATCTGAGCGTAAATTTGGTTGGGGATTCCAACTGAAAAATAGTATAACCTCGACGAAGAAAACAATATCTCTTTTCAAAATGGAACTCGAGGTTAGCCTGTCCTCACCATGGTGACATGACTGTCCTTTTATCCCTATCCCGTGGTATGTTTATCTGTTTTTAATGTATTATCATTTGTTCTGTTGCTATGCTGAAATCCACAAATATAAAAAATAGCATTTTTGTGCTCTATGCCCCAAGTGGAAATGCAGAAAAATCGTTCTGAACATAAATTGTGAGATATTGCCTTTATTTTAAACTCGATCTCGAGAAGTGGAGGCTTCATCTATCATCACATTGATTTTTTTCGTCACGTGACAAATTTGCTATCCAGTTTATATGATAGAATAAGAACTGAAGTTATCTGTAGACGGGAAGAGGAGGCTTGATTGAAACCCTTAAATTGTCTGCTGATGCCATTTCCCAGCTTAATGTACTACATATCGCTTTGATCATGTCTTGACCATATCGTCTACAGGGGCGTAAATGTTCGCACAAGAGAATGAACGTTTTCGATAAATTGGATTCCATATAACTCGTTGTATCACACTTGTTTCTCGCAGTGTTAATATTCATAAATTCGTTCCATGTTGACCATTTTTACTCATTCCATGCTGTCGTGTTTCCCTATTTTTTTTTTATTACCTTGCAATATTTCAGTTCAATAATTATGGAATCCTGGTTGCAGTCAATTGCTGGCCAAACAAAAGGTTTCACTAGGAACCCAATATCGGTTTTCGGCAACTGAGTGTAAGCAATGTAAACAAATTGTAGGAGATTTTATTTCCAGGGTAAAATTGGATTTTCCAAACTTAGCGAAACGGATTCTTACTGCGACAACTTATCACTGTGGGATTTCATTGTTCACAATCGACAGTATCAAATAACAACACCGAAAAAGTGTGTACGGTTTGTGTATCATGCCTTACTGGCCGTCTTATTTTAAACTACCCTTTGCCCTTTTTTTCTTTTTTTTCATGCAGATATTTTTCTCCCCGAATAAATTCGTCTTTCATAGTCATTCACCTCAGTCGACCGGGACTATCCCGAACACCGAGTACCGGCATCCAGATGCGGCCAATTTCAACGCATGGCGAAGACATTTATTCCTGTCCGAAATCAATCCATCTGTGGACCTGGTCTATGCTTGGGAAGATGTGAAAGCCATGTTCAATGGAGGAAATCGTAAACGAGGCACAAATCCGTCCGTACGATCATCCAGTCAAACAAGTTCGGACGAGCGACCGAGTTCCACATGTGGCTCAATCTCCGACGAGTATAATCTTTTGAGCAACAAACGAACTTACCTGCCCCCGGACGGGGTGTTTGATCGTGTGTCACTGCATGGGAACGCGTCAGATAGACCGGTGTACCACACGGAAACATTGGTGGATATCGGATCTGGGGAAAACAGTGGAAAATACCGAACAGTGAACGGCGAACAGAGTACGGCCGTTCCAGATTCCACCTTTTCCATACACAGAATGCTCACGCATTCCACCGCAAAAGTTTCCTTGGACCATTGGTCTAACAGAACCAATTATTGTCCTTCAGATAGCCAGCTACATCTGGAACCAACAGAGCTGTTTGGTTTCCAACTTTCCAATACAACTGGCACTTTAACGAAAGATTGGTGCGGACAACTGAGTCCAACTGTGCAACTGAACAAACCCAATAGAAAGGAGATCGATCGAGGAGGCATCAGCACAGTTCCATTCAGTCATAGTTTGATTTCAACTCGTCCTCCACCACCTCCTCCAGTTCCTGTTCCCGTGGAACCGGGCACCGGTTCAGCATGTTTCGCGGGAACAATTCGGACGGGTAGCGACGAATCTGTTCACCAAGTCGAATGCTATCACGATCTACGAATTACCAATGTGAAATCCAGTGTGACAAATCAATCCTCAACCCCTGTTTGTCAGTTGCCTTTATTGACTGACAAGTTCGACTGTACATCAAAACCGGTTGTACACCCTTGGTCCACACTATTTGCCCAACGGTTTTGGCACACCGCGTGTGCTTCACTGTCACTCAGCTCCTCTCACTGGTTCCATTTTCTGGACGAGTGGAAAACCAAGGTCCAATACGCGAATGTGAAACAAAGCGAGCCCGTCGGACTGGTCGAAAATGGATCACCGGAACCGGATCAAACTTGATGCGGACACGGAGCATTGTATTGTGCACAATCTGGTCTCTATGCTGTGCCGAATCGCTGAGCTACGAAGCACAGTTTGCATAAACTGTGTTGTAATCCATCTTTTTTCCTGTATGACTTCAATATGTATGAAATTCTTTGTTTGATTTATAGTTAATATTTACTTTATTGCGTTACAAGTTCCTTTTGATAGACTGGATAAATGAAAACACGGAAAATTGAGCAATGTGAAACGCTTTATAAGTTAACGAGACAGCAATTATGAACTGGATTCATAATGATGTGTATGTTTATGTGGATTAGAGTTAAGTTTGTGTACTAGTGTTTAGAATATAGTCTGATTTGGTAGTTGATAGCTTTGTGACTAATTTCACACGAGAACTGTAAAGTTAGTCGGCCGTTCTCGCATTTCATATCATCGTAAGCTGACCATGCGAAGGCGAAATTACCTGAAGGGGTAGCTGAGGAAGAAAAATCCCGAAAAGGTTTATTGCTAGGCGATGAGGCGCAACATGGACTTGGGCGACATAGAGTAGTGCACAATCGGAAGTGTGCTAAAGGGAAGAATACTGTGGTACTGAAGTGTGATGACAATATCTATGATAACCGACAAATAGAGTACTGAACAGCTGTTTCGTCCTGTTTGGGACTAGTCACTAGTGCGTACCTTTTGTGTCCCTGTCAGGACCCGAACCGCAAACAGTCGGATGGGGACTTCAAACCCTTACCCCTTGAGCTACACGGTCGACGGTCATCATTCTGTGCGGATGGCTCAATCAGTTTAGAGTATTAAGCTTGGATTAGCCTATTCAAGAGTGCCTGGTGCCTCTGAACACTCAAATTGGCTCATTCCAAGCTGGATACTGTGAATACTGTGGTACCTTCTTCAGTGCTCGGTAATCCACCCTTAAAGACATAACAAGTAGGAGTTGTATTCAACTGTGTTACCAAATGCGGAGTGTGGGTGGCCACTAACGAACTGTATACTACAGGGCTCGGATCTGTCGACCCTGATCGCTGAATTACTATGCACTTTTCCGATTGAGAACGAAAGAAGTCGCAGCAGACATACAGGAAATACTCCTGCAGGTCAAAGCTCTCGAGGATCAGAGGAACGCGGTAAACCTGCGGTAGAGAGCAGAGAAAGAGACTTGGATGTTTGCTCTCGGGAATTCCGGATGACCGTGCACCTGTTTGACGCGGTATCGTCCTCCTTCTGTGCTGATTTCGCCTTCCTCTGTCGAGCCCTGTGTGAGACAAAACTTTTACATGGAAAATTTTATGTCCTCTTTCGACAGTATTGAGGGGACAGTTTAGCAAGTCGATGACCTATCAAAGCTGCTACACATAGGCAGGTTCAGGTTGATGAAGTGAATATCCAGTCTGTCGTCAAGCCCTCAGTACTATCCCCGTGAGCGAACGGATCTCAACTATAACACGACTTCAAAACAATTCGCCGCGGTTTGGTGATAATCAGTCGTGCATCACTAATCCCAATTGATTTATTAATCACAGATCTCATTGATAGTCACATCAACTCTTGATTCTAGACGACCCTCTTCATCCACCACACCCTGATCTATCGTCTTGTCGTTCCCATCCGTCCACACGCTCCTCATTTCGACAGCTACCCTCTCGCATTAACATTTATAAAAACTCCCCTGTACCCTACCTGGCCCGACTACTCACCAAAAAGGAACAGGTCTCAAATGAACTACGTCAAATGCTTTCTACATGATACGTATATCACCGACCTTGTTTACCTTTTGTTTTGACTATTTTTATTTCATTCCGCGTGAAGAACAATGTACATTTTTAACTGAAATGTAAGCATATATGCTTACAAAAGTTACAAATACAATACAATGTAATGGGACCTAGGGAGAAATTTACTGCCAGTGGAATTTTCAATGATTTACCGCTGCTTATGTCCAATGCGGAATTATGGGATCTGAAGAGTAGTTGAGTAACGGTTGCCTCTCTTTGGGCTGTAAACATTCAAATCAGCCGGCAGGAGTTTTGGGGACGTTGAACACTAGAATATCTACCAACCCGGAAAGCCAAAGAAAATTAGGATCCAAGGTGAACGGTCACTGAAGGTTGAAAATGTGGTATTCTTGACCAATGATATGCTTTAAAACATCATTGGACTGCTGGATGTGGTTCTCGACTACCAAAACGACCACGATAGCCGAGTTGAAGGTGAAAACACCCGCAGATGAGCCAATGTGCGACATTTGATGACTGACATCTCAGTTCTCGGATTATAATTAGCCGCTGTGCCCGCGGGTAGTACACAACTGTGTTACGTTGTTTGTTACATCGCAAACACCCCTCATTCGTCAACAAGTTCATCATCTGTGCATTGTATGCACCGCTCTTGCATATCAACCACATATTGCCCCAGTTAGCTTGTGCAATGCCCTCATGTTCACAAACTACTCACAATTCAGACAATTACAAGACACGTTCAAACATTGGGCTCTTTAGTTTAATCTTCGCGACTACTTCCGTTCTTCGAATCGAACTCAGTGTTGATACATACATTCTCCAAATAGCATTGCGTTTGTTCACACACACATCTGACCATATGTTGTGTGTTACAAAGTGTAATCTGTTAAATATTTTGTCACTCAGTTGGAAATCACAGATCCAACTGAGGCAATCATAGTTTACATGTTACCTCGATGATTCTTCGTCTCCAATAACCTATAGACTAGGTGCACTACAACGTGTTGTTCAGTCCCCTTTTTCTTACCCACTTATATTTGATCCATGCCTACTTTTCGAAATTCCCTGCTGAGGAAATACGCCGACGATGGTTAAGTCGGAATTGCCCACCGCGATGCATCTGACGATTCCAACCTTCAACTCGACCTTTCTAACCTTGCTGAATGATCCACTGCACACTAATTAATTCTCATTCCCTCTAAATGCCTAGACATGCTGTTATCACTTCTCAGAAGGAAACGTTATGCAAGTCTCGTAAGATCCTGGACTCACGTTACCGTCCGGCACCCCATCGCCACACATTTTCGCAAAAAATACCTACTGCTCGTGAGTAGTATACGTCTATTCCCAGTACACAGAAAAATTCACGTATGAAAAAGAAAACTTATGAGTGCACGTTACCCATGCGGACCCACTACCAGAGCTCGCGACGTTACTCTTTTCGACCGCCCATCACTTTGGTCAGTTTTTAGGTTTGTTAAGTGTAGTTGGTACGAAAAATGTGTGCGTAATTTTAAACAATTGGTAAACAATTGGTTCGCGGTACGTCGGAAGGACTGAACGCCGACTGTCGACCAGAATGAGTGAGCATGTTCCGAATAACCTATCACTTAGGGGAGGAAAGCTTCCAGCAAGCGCAGTGGCACGACATTTGCTCGATACCGGACACTGTATCGACAAACGCAAAGCTTTCCGCGTTGTGCTCAAAATTCGAAGTCCAAGGATGCTTAGGTTTGCTGAAACGGTTGTCATTAGCCGTTTAAAGCCTGACCTATGCGTGCAAAAGGCAAAAGGTGTTATGCAGTTGTTATTACCATGGTAATTCCCCTCCCCNTTTGTATTATGGGTGAAGTGCAAAGCTGGTTTTCATTGAATCCCATAGGATATATACACACTGGGCTCAGTCGATAGTACAATTAAATAGTAAATTAACGTTTACTAACAGGTTCTATACAGTTAGGTGATTCA